CACCTGGTGGTCATTGTTTTATTCCTCTTTGCTGGCTTCATTGCTTATCTGAAGCCCATTTCACTGTCCCCGTCTATTTGTGACCTTGTCATTTCTGTGTTCTACACTATAGTACCCCCAACATTTAATCCAGTAATATACAGTCTAAGAAACAAGGTCATGAAGGTCACCCTGAGGACGCTGATTAATGGGAAGCTCACCAAAACCTAAAGGCTATGACATTTTTTTCAGTAATACATTCCATCTCTAATTATGCACCAATTGCATATTAATACTTCCCTTTAACTTTTACAAGTTAATATTTAAAAAGGAAAAGGTAAATATCTCCTTCATTAGAAATTTTCCTAGAGAGGAATTGCAATATTCCATTCTTAAGTATATCTTTGGATTCCTAATACTGAAGATCCATTTGCCAAATCCCTTCTTTGTGGAATTGATGAGGTTAATTGAAACTGTTTTTCATATGGTGCAAGAAAGAATTATGCTTAAAGCTAAATATCACACACATTATTAATCACTACTGTAAACAAAACCAACAGAAACAAAAATAAGAACAAAACTCTGCAGTCTTCTGACTCTCATCATTTCAAATCACTAAGATCTTATAAAATTCCTTTACACAGTCTTTTTTATTGTCTTTTTTAGATTGTCTATTTAAATATGACTCTGAAGGATATAATGTTCAAATTGTAGTGATGTGATCTTACTCAACAGATTGTCCAAAAGTTATCTCTACTTTTACTCAATTAATCAGGGCTTTCAGTAAAAAGATAATTAGAAAATATACATTATGAATCTTGCCAGAGAAAGATAAATGTATATTTATGGAATAGAACACATTTGATTGATGTCTGATATTGAAATGAATGTTAATTTGGGTGATGCTCTGTTGCCAATATTACTATACTTTTTCTTGATGCTGTATTTAGAGATTATCCATAAGTATTTAAGTAAAATTTTGAAAAATTCAGAATTTTAAAGTCATCTGCTATTTTATATACTTTTTGGTATAGTAATTTTGAGCTTTTACTTGTGTTTGAAATTGTGTTTTGATGTCTGATAGAGACTTTGTTCTACATACACATTTTTCTAGATATACTGAAGTTACACAATCTTCTGCTATTTGATGTATGATTTTTCTTGTATCAAAAAAATTAATGTTCAACATATAATCTTAAGTCTTTATATTCTTCCAGCATCTATGTTTTAAAAATCCAAGATTCTGAATTACTCTGTATCATATGTTTTAAAATACAAAGCTGTGGCTATATGATGCAATTTCTTTCAAGCATTTCTCTGGAACACATAATTAATTATGTCTCAAATCATTTCATTCTATTGAGTCAGTGTAAGTCCAGTAAAATGCTTCTTAAAAGTGTAATGAATATATACTTTCAAAAAGACTGATTCAATTTAAATTTTTATTGTAATTCAATATCATCCACATGTGGTATATTTTCACACAGGAATATAACATAGGTATTAATTTAATCTATTATTTGTTCACCATGCAGGGGAACATGCTGATATACTATTATTTATTCAGTGGTATAAATTATTTTTCAATTATCTATATATTTATTATATTCTAAATTGTATAGTTATTTTAACATGCTTTTATGAGGTTACAGATAAAAACCTCTACTACACATAAATATTACACATATTTAATGTCCCTTTAATTATATATTTTATTTGCCAAACACAAATTTTTAATAATTATGGAATTCAATCTGTCAAGTCGTTTACTTGTGATTTTGATTATTAACAGTTCATAGTGTCATTAATTCGCCACATTCAATGCATTTTGAATGTGATGAACTAATGTTTTACATTGTTTTAATTTTGTGCATATATATATATATATATATATACATACACATAATATATTCAAAATGACCTAAGATTTGTTTTTTCAGAAGACTTAAAGAAAAGCAGAAAACATGTTCCTGAATGTTGAGAAACATTTGCAGCCAATTCCTCTCTTAGTATGAATTAACATGTACAATTCACTTCATTTTGAGTAAAAAGTGAACACAAAATCATTAAATTATGGCAAAGAAATGTAACAACACAATTGAGCAGTTGCCAGTAGCATAAATCAATAATTGCTACTTTCTTAATATCCATTAAACAAGTTCCACAATAGCAAATTTCAAGTCTCTGTGCATTATTTCACTTTGTATGTTCAACCAGTTATTCTTCATCCTCTTTATTTATGAAGATGGGGCAGGTAACAATATCTATGAGCAGTCATTCTTTTAAAATAGGCTTTCACAGCACTGTTGCAATGATTACATCAGTAATGCACATGCCAGCAATGACTTTTAGTAAATGCTGATGTTGATTAGGCAATTCATATTCTTTGAGAATCTACTACTGGCAAGATGTATGATCTGAACGGTGTGAATTCCTTCATTATTCAGACTCCAAATACCTAAATTATTTGTACAAGTGGGTTCCTGGCCATATATCTCAACTGTTATGAGGTTAAAGCAAAACTGGTAAGAATTTACCTCTATTCCTGTTAAAAAAGTAAGTAAAAAAGAAACAACATAAAAGAAGATCTGCTCCTCATTGACACCAAGTACAAGTAAACTAATTATTAGTTGGTTAAATTATCTTTCATATACCTAATTGCCTATATGTGTTGGAGGTTCTTGATTTTTTTATATTGATTGATATTGATCATTATAATCATATATTTTCCAACCCAGATCTATAGAAGAAAATATGACTGAACAGTTTAACACTACAAATGGAAATACGATTTTGTGATTTTGAAACACTGTTAGTAAAAATGTATTTGTACTGTTGGTAAGATGACGAGCACCTGGGAAAGTGCCAGGTAAGTGGCTCATCATAAGAGCTCATTGGGTGTCTGCATAAGTATGTTTTGCAAATGTGCAAATGCTTTTTTTACCAATTATGGAGATTCTTGACTGCATAGCAACACAGCAAGTTAGTCGTTATTAAGGAAAGGCCATTATGCTACTTAGTTTCCACAGGTTGCATAGTGCCAAGATTTGTCTCATAAGTGTGAGGGATAGATTACATAAGTCAAGTCCAACAAAAGTGGCAGCATTTCCCTTTGGAATATTCCAGAGTTCATGCCTCTGGGAGATGGAAAACTGATATAAAATAATCGCCATACTCATTCTGATTGTTCTTAAGTCAAGAGATTAAGAATCAAAGTGACTTTCAGAAAAGGAGTTTCTCAATACTTGAAAGTCAGAATTAGTGATGTCCTTCTGGATTAATCATCAGTAATGCTTTCACCAGCAACTATACACGAAGCTTTCTGATGTCTTCCATCTTCTACAGAACAGACACTTTAGTGAATTTATTTTCTTTTAATCTGGTTGTTGATAATGGTTTCAGTCAGAAAATAATAGGCCTCCTAGAAAATTCTTATTTAAATTCTTCAAAAGTAAAAGTTTGTTGGGTCGTTACATGTTAATTTAAAGATTTCTAAAATATGAGTTCGCTAACAGGCCACAGGAAATCTACATATATATATTTACTTATGTTTCAAAACATGAGCTCATATACCAAAAACATATTAGACTTTGAAATAGTTACTTAGATAATTTTATTTAAAGCATAAAAGGACGCTGAGCTCACTGGAATCAATAAAAACCAGTTAAGATATCAGGTACATTTGATTTCAGTTATAAGCAGGAAGTAATGAAGAATGAAGTAGAAGAATGATGTGAGGTAATCAAAATTATGGCTAATTTGGAAATAAATACCACTAAAATATACAGAATATAACTTGGATCATAAACTACAGTGTCTTAATAATCATTGCTTAATTTTGATTCATATGAAGCAGTAAATTGCCTTAAATTATGGGGTAGATGAGAAAAATACTTTTGAAATTCTAAGCATTTAATTCTGTATAGCGTAGATTCTGGTATAATTCAGTTATAAATCTCCACTAATAAATCTGATAATTCTTAGTGGATATAATTTTGGAATTGTTGGTTTTAAGTGGTTTTCTTCCAGTAAAGGATGAGAGCAGATATACTGTGTTTCAAACATCCAATAACAATCTTTATTTATTTATTTATTTATTTATTTATTTATTTATTTATATTTACATTACTCAAAGTATAAAAACAGGATACACACACAGTGCCTAAAACTTGTCTGTGTGTGTGTGTACATATATATATATACGCACTGAGAGAAGAGAGAGAGAGGGCACACAGCATTAGTGGGATAATGAAAGATAAAGAAATCAAGACCAAACTAGGAAGTGAAAAGATAAATTAGTGTTATTGTGAGGGTTGAGTGAAGGAGTATTTTAATAAAACCTGTGCACTAAAGAAAATGACAACTACCTGCTTGAAATGATTGCTACTGTTTACTCCTGATGCTTAAAAGATTAGAGGACATTGTGTGAGCCTATCTTTCTATCATTTTTCTTGGCATATTGATTTCAAAAATGTCTGAAATGACCTTAAAGAATGCCCATTGTTTTATAAAGTTCATGTTTAAGAAGAAATTAAGAGTAATTAATTTTGTCAAATAATCCACTGATTTAAAGTAAAAAATTGTAAAGCCCAAGTATAAAGAACATGGCATGCAGTCTTTGTGTACTCCATGTCTACCCCTTCACTTCCTTTCACACATAAATTAAGATTCTTCTCCATGAAGGATAGATTGTACGTGCTGTGAATCTGGTAAACAATTTGTACATATGCTTTAATTACATTATAACACACACCTAGAGAAACAGAAAATTTGAAAAAAAAAGTACATATGCAGCACATGACTAATTGGATTATATTGATGGAGAAAATATTCTGTTAAAACTGTTTTTGACTTTCACACAAACACAAATACACATGGACACACACACATTCAAGTGACAAATGTTAAATAGAAACACAGTTTTTCTTTAGCTGTACTGAAGTAAAATTAAATAGATGTTGGAATTTGATCATTTTAACCATACCTTTTCTTTTTTTTTAATGCAGAATGTTTCATCAAGAATGAACAATATCTCAGTGGTGGCAGAATTTGTTCTCTTGGGTTTTTCAGGCCCATGGAAGCTTCAGTTCTTGCAATCTGGGACCTTTGTAGTGATCTACCTGATGGCCTTCATGGGGAATGGCCTCATTATCACCACAGCATCATTGGATCCCTGCATGCACACACCCATGTACTTCTTAAAGAATCTGTCCCTTTTTGATATCCTCATTTCTGCCATTGTGCCCAAAACTTTTGCCAACTCCTTGACCCACATTAACTCCATCTCATTCCCCGGCTGTGTCACGCAGGTCTTCCTGGTGCCTTTTGCCGCAGGGGCAGAGCTGTTCCTGCTCACAGCGATGTCCATCGACCGCTATGCTGCCATCTGCCATCCTCTGCACTATGAGCTCATCATGAACAGGGGCCGGTGTGTGCACATGGTGGCTCTGTCCTGGCTCAGCAGTGGCCTGATATCCATTGCACATACAGCAGGAACCTTTTCCCTAACTTACTGTGGGCCCAATGAAGTCCAGCAATTCTTCTGTGACATTCCCCAGTTGTTAGCTATTACTTGCTCAGAGAATGTAACAGTGGAAATTGTGATCATTCTTACTGATGCAGTCCTGGACTTATGTTGCTTTATCTGCATCATAGTCTCATACATCTACATCTTCTCCACTGTTAGAAAGATTCCATCTACGGAAGGGCAGTCAAAAGCCTATTCCACCTGCCTCCCACACCTGGTAGTAGTTGTTCTTTTTCTCTCAACTGCTTTCATTGCTTACCTGAAACCTATCTTAGGGTCTACATCAGTCACTGATCATGTTCTATCATCTTTCTATATTTTGTTGCCTCCTTCCCTTAGTCCCATCATATACAGCCTAAGAAACAAAGCCACGAGAGCTAGTTTGGAGAAGCTGATCACTAAGAAGCTCTGGGTGAAAAGAATATCATTTTTCTCTAAGAATAAATGCATTGTATTCTTAATATTTGTGTAACACAAAGACTAAGTTAGCTGGTCAGTAACAAATCTGTGCTTATCTCCAGGGTTACATGGAACCCTGGTGGTGATTCTTCACCAAATTGGAATGGCCAGGACACAAATATAACTTATATGGAATTTCTTAATCTGCTACAAAATAGACTCAGCTTTCTCAGATAATTCTGCTGATTGAAATATATATATATATATATATACATATGTACATATATATTTCATATATATATACTAATGGAAGTGCATGAAGCTTTTCCTCAGGTCTGACAGTTACAGCTTTCAAGTATTGGTAGAGAAAATATGCACATTAGTGATTTGCACCTGTTTTCTGTTAGGCTATCTTGATTTCTATTTACTAATTTAGCTCATACATCCTGGTTTTGGGTACTTGAATAGATAGTCAGAAAAGCTGCATACTTGAAAGGGAATGTAGGTTCCCAGGTGTCTGGTTTGCAGTCCAGAGGAAGCATGTCCTCTGTGACTAAGAATGGCCTCGGGAAACCGAGCCTCGGTGCTCTGAATCTCCTTAATGTTGCCTTAAGTGTCTGTGTTCTTCCTGCACTATAATGTCTGACAAATCTTTCCTTAGCATGCATCAATAGATTACAGTGGTTGTTTTGTATTACCTAAATTTAAAGCCTGAAACAGTGGCAAATAAAACATTTGCTTCTATCTCAAAAGAAAATTCATAAATATCATGGAGAATAAAAGAAGAGGGACACTTGTTCCTGGGAGATTCACTTCTCCATAGACAGGCAGTTCCTCTACCTCTATATACACTTTTGTATTTATTGCACCCATGTGTATACATCATTTCAACACCTTTGGATTACATAAAATATGGAAAACTAAAAATGTATTAATAATTTGAGATCTAATTACAGAATTATTTCCTTTATCTATTCAAAAATTTTCACTTTACAATTTACTTCTTATACAATGTTTTGAAAATGGTCTTAATTTTCCATTATAACTGACCAGGACACAAATATAAATTATATGGGATTTCTTGATGTGTGTTTTATTAGAGTTCATTTTAGCCACTACTGATTCAACCTATGTATCAAATAACTACAGGAAGAAAAATCTGCTACAAAATAGACTCAGCTTTCTCAGATAATTCTGCTGATTAAAATATATATATATATACATATGTACATAAGTTTCTATACTTTCTGGCTCATGATCTTAGTTACTAAGTGTGCATCAAACAAATCTTCACATGAAAATAAATATTCACCTTTACTGGATAAAGTGTAATGCTGTGAGCCTTGACTGTTCATGCTTTTATTATATTCCCAAATCTTCATCTTTTGAAATGATTGACTTAGTTTTGTCATTGCATATAATGTTTTTTCACCACTAGTATCATAGGCACACATTTATGGTTTAGAAGAAAAGTTAACATATTACAATTATGTCTTCAAAAATGCACAAAGGTTAATAAATTTATGACTTCACTACTAATTACTTACTTTGAATTTCACATTATACTTATTTATAATTACATATATACACATATGCAATCATTTTCTTTGACTATTTTCGGGTGAGTGAATACAGAATGTTATTTATATAAATATTTAACTCTAATATTTTCTATTTTTAATATATAAATTCATTTCAATATTGTATATACAATGGGAAGTAATCAAACTTCTGTAGAAGGGCAACAAAGTCTGGTTTAATCCACAGTATTCAGCAAATATGCTCCAATTGAATTCAACTTTATATCTACCATTTGCATAGCTAATACATTCCTGTTTTAATGTCATTGATATTCATGAGCATTTGTGTGATATATGACCAATGGTTAATTTAATAGTTATTTATTTTTATAATTATAATGGGCTATAAATAATTTATTGTTAATATGATTATGTGTTAAAGAATAATACATAAAAATACAAATATGTGTATACACACGCATATTGATTTAAGAAAATAAATATGTAAGTGGTCTAGTCATTCCAGTAGTTGACTCGTAAGATAAATATATGCCATATATTTTAAAAGTAAAAGGAATTAAAAGATTAAAATAAAGTGTGAATAATAATTATTGACTACAAAGATTTGAAGAAAACTAACTAGAACTAACATAAATGGAAACAGATTGTTGCTTAAATTAAAAATTAAATTAAAGCTTAAAGATCAAAACTAGTTAGTGAACTCAACATGAAAATGAGCCAGAAAATTTTACAGAGGAAGGAATAACACCCCCCCACACACACAAACATACACACATGAGTAAAAATATAAAGTTAGATAGAGAATAAAGAAGGAAAGAATGAGAGACATATTGTTTTAGTGGTAATGGCTGAATTTTTATTCTAACCTATAAAAGACATATTTTTGTGTGTTCATGAAGAACAATTTATCTCAGATAAAAATGAATATATGAATTGAATGTGAGGTGTATATTTTTAACCCTCTGTACCCACCATGTATCCTTATCCAGACTATCCTGGAATTTAAAGTGCCTGAACTACAGCAAGTTCACTCTGAATGGCTTCTGGGTGGATCTGGCCAATGAAATGAACTTCCATTAGAGCAGATAAAGAGAATTAGTTGCTATACAGGATGTTAATTGTTCAAATCTATTTTTGTAAAAAGTACAAAAAATTTTGTAGCTTTTACAAAATTAGATGCCCTAATATAAAGACATAGGGTAGCTACATAGACTAAGAAAAACAAAATTCAATTATTTTCCTTCTACAGTAGAATCACTTCCAACTTAAGGACACACAGAGGCTTAAAACAATGGGCTGGAAAAAGATATTCCATGAAAATGGAAGCCAGTGCAAGCTCTATTATTAGGCTAATGTCATTTTTCACAGAAATAGAAATAAAATTATTTAGAATTATATAACATCTCAAATACCCAAGAACAAAGCTGGAGGTATTACCTTTCCTTTCCTGATTTCAAAATATATTGCAAACCCCAGTAATCAAAACAGTATTATGCTGGAATAAAAACAGGAATATAGATCAATGAAATAATGTAGGGAACCTTGAAATAAACCCACATATATTTGGTCAGCAAGGGAGTCAAGAATACATGATGGGAAAGAATAGTCTCTGGAATAAATGTGTTTATGATAGTGCATATACACAGGCAAAAGAATGAACTGGGTCCTTATCCCAAGCCACACACAAAATCAACTTAAAATAAATTGAAACAAACATTAAACTTGAAAAAATGAAACTCATAGAAGAAATGATACTGTGAATGTTTTAACATTAAATCTGACAATGATATCTTAGATGTGGCACCAAATGCAGAGGCAAACAAAACAAAAATTCAAAGTGTGATTATATCAAATTAAAAATTATCTGTACATTAAAGGGAACAATTAAGAAAATGAAAAGGTAACCTAGGCAATCGGACAACATACATGCAAACTATGTTTTGGATACAGAGTTCATGTAAAAAATATATGAGACTCCTGTAACTTATTAGGAAACAAGACAAATATTCCAATTTTAAACAATGGTCTGAGGGCCTTAAGAAAGATTCATTCAAAGAAATACCAATGCTGAAAAGGTACTTGAAAAAGTGCTCAACTTAAGTAATAATTAGGGGAAACAAAAACTAAGATCACAGTGACATTTCATTTCACATCTGTTAGAATGATTATTAAGAACAAAATAAAAAATAAAAGATAAGTGTTGTTGAGGGTGTGGAGAATAGGGAACATTTGTGCCCTGTTTGTGGGATTGAAAATTGGTGCCATCATTAAGGAAACAGTCTGGAGATTTCTTATCAACTGAAAAATAGAATTACCATTTGATCCAGCAATACAACTTCTGGGTATATCACCAAAGAAATTGAAAACAGGATCTCAGTGAGCTTTCTGCATTGCCATGTTTATTGAAGTATTATTCACAATGACAAACATAAAGACACAATCTAAATGTCTTTTAGAGGATGAATGGAAAAATAGGATGTGGTATAAACTTACAAGGAAAACCATTCAGCTTTAAAGAAGAAACAGATAGTGCCCTTTGAGGCATGGATGGAGGACATTCTGATGAATGTGAGAAGCCAGACTGAGAAGGACAAATACTGCATGACACGACTTTGATGAAGAATCTAAAATAATCAGTCACAGAACCAGAGACTGGCAGAGTGACTACAAGGGGCTGGTCAGGAAGGACGTAAGAAGATATCATTCAAAGGACACCAAGTTCTAATTATTCGAGATGATTTCTTTAGTAATCTGTTGTGCAACATAAGGTTTACAGTTAACAATACTGGATTATATACTTAAAATTTTTCTGAGGTTAGTACTTCAATATAACCATACACAAATAAGTGGTAACTATATGAGGCGATGGAAATGTTAGTATGATTTTTGTAATAATTTCACAACACACACATATATATATATAAACATTACATTCTATACACAATTCATTCAATTTTTATTTGCCAGCCTTACCTCAATAAGGCTGAAGAAAAAAGGACATGACAGTAAAAAGCAAGGCACAAAGACCACCGGATCTCAGAATGACATAGATATAACCATAGATATCCAGGTTTGTGTATAGATATACATAGATATAGCATATGTATATACAGATGGTGATGGATATAGAAACAGCAACCATTGTTGGATGTTGACAACATTTAAATAAATATGAGGAAAAAGAAGAGTAGAAAGGCTAGGTAGAAACTTCCTCCCACACACACACCGAGGAAGCAACTATAGCAGATGACGATGCCCATCAAGTCCTCTATCCAGTACAATATGTCCAGCAGTCAAGGAAAAAAAAATGCACAGCATTATAAAAGATAGGGAAAAAAAGAAGAAAAGTAAACAATCTGAAAAGTCAGAGAAACCATGCGACCCAGACCTGGGATGTTGGAATTATATGATCAGGAACTCAAAATCATTATGGGTTCTAATGGATAAAATAGATGACATGCAAGAAGAGATGGGCAGTGTAATCTCAGACAGATGAAAATCTCAAGAGGAAAAAATTACAGATCAAAGACAC